GTGGAGGCATCATCCAGCTTCCCAACGTCTCCTGCCATGGCCAGGGAGAGCTGGAAAGGGGCTTTTTGGCAAAGCCACTTGTGGTCACTGGCACAGACATCAACATCCAAGCTCTTGCCTTTCAGGGTCCCACACCCTTCATCCACCTCCGGCAGGTCCCCAAACCTGCACAACAAAGGGTTTATTGCCCCATAACCAACCCCAACGTGCCCTGTGACCCCAATGTTCCCCAGGACCCCAACTCTTGGTCTGCAGAGTGTTGCCAGAGGAATAAGAGACCCTTGCATGGACCCCAGCGATATGTGGACGTGGATCAGAGTCTCAAATGGACCAAAGCTGCTTTTTACCCCCCCAGACCTTGGACACTCACCTGTGGGGGTCGTAGGGGGTGTCATCCACCCACGTCCACTCCTTCTGCCGTGACCTCAACCCAGCCCACACCGACCACGGGCGCCTGCCTGTGACACTCTCGATGTTCTCCTGGGACGTGGAAGGAACCAGTTGCTCCAAAAAAATCTCTCCATGGGGAGTTCCGTGGGGTGCAAAGCCACAGAACAAACCTGACCCCCCAAATCCGTGGGACACAAGCGGCCCGTGCTCTGAACCCCAAACCCTCCTGCTGCTGGGAGCCTTTTGTTCCCCTGCCCCCCTAAAACCCCAGGACTTCTGGGTCCTTTCCAAGCCTTTTCCTCCCTGTTTACCATTTCTGCCTCGTTCTTGAGCACCACCAGCTCAGAGCCCTGATCTTTGCAGCTTTCCCGGCCCCGAGTCCAGTTTCCCGATTCCTTGGAGAGCCAGTAGCATCTCTCCCCACGGAGCTGCCAGTCCTGGGGGCACAACTTGCAACCAGCAGAGGCTGGAGAGGAGGAAAGGCCATGAATGAGACACCCCAAAGGTGGGCAAGGTCTTCCCCGACCCCTCAAATGAAAGGCACCAAACCCTTGAGTTATTTCCCACCCTTGTGGTTTTTCTTCTCTGCCACCACGAAGGAGGAGGAGGAGGAACAGGAAGAGTAGGAGGAGGAGGACGAAGAGAAAGAGGAGGGGGAGGAATGGGAGGAAGAAGATTCAGTTGGGTGACGAAAAGGACACAGTGGGTGGTTGGGGTGCAGGAAGGGTGGTGAGAAACATCCCCCCTTGGGCTGACCGTGCTTCTCCGGGGAGGTAGGACCGCCAAAAATCACATGGAAAAGGGAATTCTTCCTTGAAAATGCTCCTTTTTGCCAAAGAACCCTCAATGCAGGGTCTCCTCACAGGAGGAGCCCCCCGAGGTCCCACCTGAGCCTCTCCCAGCAGAGCCAGGTGGGAAGGGGGCTCACCTGGGGGGCTCTGCCCCTGGGGCTGGCAGAAGTACTGCACCAGGGACGGGAAGATGCATCGCTCCGTCTGGTTCCTGGCCTGGATCTCAACTCTGGTGTCACTTTCAGGACCTGGAGAGCCCTGAAAAACTGGGAGCAAAGTGAGAAGTTGAAGCCAAACCACAAACCCCACAGAGACAGGTCGGGTTTTGCCCTGCAGTTAATGAAATAGGCCCGAAGCCCACGGGTCTTGCCCTCCTCCCTTGTTCCTGGGGATGCTCCAGGTGTGCCCAGAGGGGGTTTTGCTCTTGGCTCTCATGTCTGCACCAACCCTCCAGGGCCTGAACCGCTGCAACAAACCCAGATTTCCGCTCCCAGGCATCTTGTCAGGGTGTGAGATGGAGATAAGAGCTGGTTACTCACCACTCACATTTCAGAGCACCACCAGCACCAGCAGGACGAGGTGCCCCAGAGCCCCGGCTGTGAGGAGGACTCTGTGCCACCACGGGCACAGGGCAGGAGCTGGAAGAGGTCACATTTAAGCTTAAAAAACATGAAGAAGACTGGGGGGTTAGAGAAAAAAAAACAAAACCAAACCCCTGTGCTGAGCTGTGAGTTCAAGCAGAAGTTACTGGTTGCTTTGCTTCCTCCAAAGCCATAAATCCCCCCTGACAGGGCTCGAGCCAGGGCAGCACCCCCGGGGGAGATTGGGGGGCTCAGGGGGTGCAGCAGCCTCGGGAGCAGCCTCAAGGACCCAGTGCCAGAGGGCAGGACCTGGGAACTCCCAAACGGGCTCAGTTTCCAGCTGGGAGTTGGTGGCTGTGGGTCCCTCCAGCCCTCGACTCCTCCGGGGTCTGGATGGGGCTCGGCCCCTTTGCTGCCCTCCCAGGGGTGGTGGCTCCCCTGGGGCTTCCTGGGATCCCCTTTTGGCCACCAAGTGAAGGGTCTGGGAAACAAAACTCTTCCAGTTCTGGAGATTTTCCAGCCTCTCCTGTCTCTGACTTGCTCCGGACAATCCCAGATCCCATTTCAAAGGCCACCCCATGAGCTTGGAAACCTGAACGCAGGGATGGAGGAGCGAACAGATCCCAAAGATAACAGACCCAAAACTCTTCCCAGGGCCTGAAATAAGCCTTTTTCCCCCCAAAATACACTCACCAGGACATTTCTCATCTGGAGAAGGTCCATTCTCAGGATTTCTTAGATTGGCATAACCCATTTCCCCAGCCACGGTGGCTCTGGAGGTCGTTGGCGTGTCCGGAGAGCGACACCAGCCTCGGACACCTTCTCACCTCATGACCAACACGCGTCCGGTCCCCGGAAATGGCACCAACCGGGCCTTTTATGTTTCTTTGGGGTTTTTTTTTAAACATATCTCTATATTCTTCAGTCTCCCCTGTGCCTGAGGAAAGGGTTTAGGGTGTCCCCGGCCAGGAGGAGGAGGGGGGGGGCTCACCTGGAGGTGCAGGAACACGCGCAGGGTTGGGCCGAACAGGTGGAAATTTATTACATTAATCAAATTAATTTATTAAATTAACTCAAAAAGCCTCTGATTGAGGTTTTTTGGGGGGTGAGGCTGAAACATGACAGGTGATATTTGGTGTTGCTTCTCCAAAAAGCATCTCTCAGGGATGGGGTGGTGGCAGAAATGCTGCAGCCATGGGAGGGTCAGAACCAGGCAGGGCAGGAGGAGCTGACACCCCCCGGTCATTTAGGGGGGTTTTTCCCCACTTGTCTGACACCCCCTTTGTCCCCCTCAGCCCCATCGGTCAGGACACGGCCCGGTTCTGGGGGGGCAGAGCTGCTCCTGGGGACACCGGGGGATCCTTTACCCCCCTCGTGCAGCTCCAAGCGCCTGAGGGGCCAAGTCCTGGTTTCTGGGGCTGCCCCCACAGTTGATTTTGGGGTCCCGCGGGGGCTGCGGGGGCCGCTCGGGGCCGGGACAGGACCGAGGGAATGTCCGCCGGAATGTCCGCGGGAATTCCCGGCTCGTGCGCATCCCCTGCCGGCCGCGGCGCACAAACGCACCCGATTTCCCTCCGAAAAGGGGGAAAAAACGGCCCCAAATCCCTTTTGCCCGAGCGGAGGAGGGGGACAGAGTTCGGGCAGAAAAGTCCAAAAATCGGTTTTGCCCAACTCGGGAAGCACAAAACAAACAGAAGTGAGGTGGGACCCCCCCCAGCAGCACTTGTGTGCCATCGCCCCCCCTGAAGCCCTCCAGGGTGACTGGGCAGACTGGGAGCACTGGGAAGCAGCCCCACGTCACCCCTGGGAGCTCCAAGGCTCCGACATTTGGGATGGAATCATGGAAAGTGGCAGGGGGAGCAGGGGAAGGGACGGGGGGGATTTCCCAAGGTTTTATTGCAAAAGTGAACGTGGGATCTCCTGCTTCACTCCGGATAGGCAGCATCATACATGTATACAGGGTTAGGGTACAACTGTGGACTGTTAGAGAAGCAGGATGAGTTCTGGGATGGTTCTAGAAGGACAAAGAAACCCAGAGTCCCCACTTCAGGCAGCCACACATGGGCTTCCACATCATCTCCCCTCCCTGCAGGCTCATCCCCTTCACACCAGGCACTGAGGTGACCCTGAGGGGTTGCACTGAGGTATCCGTGGCACCAGGCTCTGAGGTGGTGCAGATAAACAACTGCAAGGCAGGTGGAGAGCTGAGGTGTGCTGGGAGAAGATGCAAAGCTGTTGAGTCTTCAGGATGGAGGAAAAGGTCCCCTTCCCACCATTTATTCCAGGCGATCCTGGGGTCCTAGTGGTCTCTCACAGAATCATCGACCAGGTTGGAAAAGACCTCCGAGATCACCAAGTCCAACCCTCGATCCAACCCCACCGTGCTTCCCAGACCATGGCACTGATGCCACATCCAGTCTCACCTTCAACACCGCCAGGGACGGGGACTCCAGCCCCTCCCTGGGCAGCCCATTCCAATGGCTGATTACTCACTCTGCAAAGAATTCCCTCCTAATATCCATCCTAAACCTCTCCTGGCACAGCTTGAGACCGCGCCCTCCTGTCCTGCCGCTGCTTCCTGGGAGAAGAGCCCGAAGCCCACTCGGTTGCCCCCACCTGTCAGGTAGTTGTAGAGAGTGAGGAGGTCTCCCCTGAGCCTCCTCCTCTCCAGGCTGAGCCCCCCCAGCTCCCTCAGCCTCTCCTCAGAGGACCTGTGCTCTCACTGCGTTACGGAACCATTTGGGCTGAACGGGACCCCAAATCCACCTTTAAAACGCGGGGAAGGACCAAACCGCCAGAACCCCCGAGCGCCTCCAGCCCCAGGAGAAGCGAGCGCGGGTCTCACCTGGGCCGGGGCCACGTCCGAGCTCCTCACCCACCGCCTCACCGGGGTCCGGACACTGCCGTCGCTCCCGGTGCTGTCAGGACTCCGGGGACGACGACTGCGTGGACTCCTTCGTGGGAGTGCCCCACCCTCACGGCCGTGACCAATCAGCGCGCGGGAGCCAAGAGTGACGGGTCAAACAGCCAATAAGAGGCTTTGCCCCCCCCCCCCGCAGTGGGTGTCGCTGATTGGTGGAACCGTGAGGGCGTTCCGCCATCTTGGCTCTCTCAGGGCGAACGTGCCCCCCCCCCTCCCCCGGCACCCGCCGGGACGTTCCCTCGGGTCTTTCCGGGCCCCGCACGGGGCGAGCGGCCCCCGCAGCTCCCGCCCCGACCAGGACACGAGGGACAGCCGTGGGGTCGTACAAACTTTAATATAAATGTAAAAAAAGGAGAAAGAGAGAGAAGCACAGCGGCAGCACTGATACAGTAACTCTGCTGAGGCCACAATCAGGACATTGTACATTCACATTCATAGATTCATACAGCGTTCAGGAATGGAAAAATACTTCACACGCGAGCATTCAAGCACTATAGGGCTTGAATATAGTGCATATAGTGTAAACTGTTAAAGTAAATATAAATAGAGGATGAGGAAGACTTCTGGAGAAAGAAACCCCTAGTCCATGAAGGCACACGTCCACTTCCACATCATGTCCCTGCAGGTTCACCTCCTTGAGACCAGCTACTGAGGTGACAATGACAAAAGGCACCGAGGTTCCTGAGGTTGTGCTGAGATGTGTCACAAAGCAAATGTTCATCTGTGGAAGGACATCCCTGTGCTAGTGGAAGAAGGAAAGTTGTGAGTCTTCAGGATGGAGAAGGTCCTTTCTCCCTCACTTCTATTACAGGTGAGGTTGGGGTTTGCTGCAGAGATACGGCAGCTGTTTTGAACAGTCCTCACTCCTGAGTTTATGATCCGCCAGGTACACACACTCTGAATTGCCAAGGACCTCCAGCCTGCAATGAGGAGCAGAGACAGTGCTGTTACAGGGCAGGGCTGTTAACAGGACAGGTCGTCTCTGCCCATTCCCCCCAGCAGATGAGGAGACAAGCGCTGCCCAGGAGGGACAGTCCCAGCAGCCTCATCCCCCCCATCCCCTGCCCGTCCCCCGGGACTCACGAGGAGTTGTAGCTGCTGCCGTCCACCCACTGAAACCTCTCGCCCTGTCTCCACAGCCCGAGCCAGTAATCCAGGTTGCCATTGAGGCGGAAGAGGAAGCCCTGGGAGGGAGAGAGGAGCAGGCAGTGAGAGCTGCCCCAGCCCAGGAACCCCCCTCAGCCTCTCCTCTGTCACCCATACACCCCCCAGAGCCCCTCACTCACCATTGCCTTGTCGCTGAGCACGGCTAGGGAGGCCCCGAGCTCAGAGCATCGATGCTGAGCCTGCTCCCAGGTCCTCCAATCCCATGAGAAGTAGTTACAGACCCTGTTGTACCCGACCCAGTCCTCAGGACAAGCCACAAACTGTGGACCCTTAGGTGTAACTGGAATCTCTCCATGACTTTTTCCTGGAGAGAGAAAGGGAGAACGTCTGAGGATTCCCCTCCACAGGGAGCCCTGCCCTGTGCCCAGAGCTGCCTCTGTGCTGAGGCAGCTGCTCCTTCCTTACCTGACAGCACAGCCACGGCCACCACGTTCAGGAGCACAGACAGCACCAGGAGCACAGTCACCACTCGGCGGGATCTGAACCAATTGCCTGGAGGAGGAAGAGCCACTGGATGTGAGGACAGGGCTTTGCTGAGCAGGCCCAGCCCTCACATCCCCCCAGCCAACACTGGGGCAGCCAAGGGTGTTGGTACCAGCCACTGACAGGGCCGAGAGGCCTCTTCCAGACCCCTGGAGCAGCCTCACACTTGCCGGCCCCATCCTCTGTTGGCACCAGCCACTGTTGTTGGTGCCAAGCAGAGCACGAGGCCTCTAGCAGACCCCTGGAGCAACCTCCCACTTGCCAGCCCTGCCCTCGTGGGGTGACACTGTCCCCTCTCTACAGGACACAGGTGGCCCTGCACTCACCCAGATGTTTTCTGAGGGTCTTCCTTGTTTCTGATCCATCCTGGTGACTCAGGGGCTCCTCTGCATTCTCACCATTCCAGTTGCGTTCACCGTCCATATCTTGAATCACTGCAAACTTAGAAGAGGCACCTTCCTGACCAGGACAAGCCCCGTCTTGAACCTGAGGCATCGCTAGGGGTGAAATAAAAACCCTCTTTGAGTGCAGATTTAACAGGAGCACTGTGTCAGACTGTAGAGAATACATAGAGAACAGTCCAGAGAGGGGGACTGTGCCCAGCGGCTCCTGCTCCAGAAGTTTGGAACCCAAGGCCCCTGAGCGCTGACGAATGAGTCACTGCCGGGGACCAGAAAGAAAAGCAACGCTGCGATCGTTCCAGGATGGCTGCAAGATTGCATGAATTCAATCCAAGAATGGTTTGGGACGGGAGGGACCTTCAAGCCCATGCCATCCCCCCGCTGCCCCGGACACCTCGCAGCAGCTCCGGTGGCTCCAAGCCCGGTCCCACCTGGCCGAGAACACTCCCGGGGACGGGGCAGCCAACTCTGCCCGACCGGGAGGAAGCGGGACGATCCCCGACGGGGGCGCACGGTTGGGTACAGGGACAGCCCCGCCGGCCCGGTCGGTGGCCCCCTCCCCGACCCCGCGGCCGATGAGGCGCGATGAGCGATCGGGCTGCGCGGGGCCGGGCTGAGACCCGGTGAGAGCCACCGGGGGCGGCCGCTCCAAACTCTTCACCCCCGGTGCCTGCCAGAGCCCGCTCCCAGCACCGCCGGCACTCCTCCGGCCCAGGGCAGACTCCCCTTTTCGCCCCCTCCCGCTCCCCGAGCCCCGGCGCTTCCATCTGCACCTCGAACATGCGCTCGCTGCCGCCTCGATTTCTTGATGGCCGGAGCATTTTATCGCGACGGGCCCGTGACGTCGGCGAGGAAGGCGGGGACGAGGCAGAGCAGAAATTTTCGCTGAGGAAGGAAGCGACGAGGCAGAGGAGAGATTTTCGCTGAGGAAGGAAGCGACGAGGCAGAGGGGAGATTTTCGCCGAGGAAAGTAGGGACGAGGCAGAGGGGAGGTTGCACTGCACAGACCGCCCTCACAGACGGGAACCTCCAGCGGGAAACGGTGCAGGAAAAGGGCAAGAGAAACACCCCTTTGTCTCCATTGCGGCAGGACTGGGACACTTTTTGCTCCTCTCAGCCAATAAACCCTTTGTCGTGCAGGTTTGGGGACCTGCCGGAGGTGGATGAAGGGTGTGGGACCCTGAAAGGCAAGAGCTTGGATCTTGATATCTGTGCCAGTGACCACAAGTTGGTTTGCCAAAAAGCCCCTTTCCAGCTCTCCCCGCCCACGGTTGGGAAGCTGGATGATGCCTCCACCTGACACACTCGGGCATGGACACCATGCGGTACAAAAAAAAAATTTATTACCGTTTTTTCATGGTTTATGCACCCTGTTAAATCAGCAGTAAATTCCTGTTAGTGACTTTTCTCTATATCTACTTTTTAATTAAGCATTTACAGAGCAGGAGTAAAATACTCCCAAACAATTTCACACACACATGGATACATCTCACCATGTCTGCATTAAAGTTGCTGAGCTCCCCTTGAGATTCTCTCAGGGTCATATAATGTTGGTTCCTGATACTTAAGAGTTATTTTTATGCTTTTATATTACTATAGATAATAATAAGCCAAGCGGCTCCATCCCTGCTTTCCTGTGCAACCCTGTCCAGGCCATGGGCTGCAGCTTTTCCAGGGGTGTGCCCTGGAAGACAGTGTCCAAGGCTTTGCTGGAGGACTTTTCAAGGTCCCTCTGCATGCCAACCCCAGGGAATGGCTGGAGCTGTGTCAGGGCAGGGTCAGGTTGGATACCAGGAAAAGGATCTTCCCCCAGAGGGTGGTTGGCACTGACCAGGCTCCCCAGGGCAGTGGGCACAGCCCCAAAGCTGCCAGAGCTCCAGGAGGGTTTGGATGATCCTCTGGGGCACAGGGGGTGACTCCTGGGGATGGGCCTGGGCAGGGCTGAGGGTTGGACTCCATAATCCTTGTGAGGTGCCTTCCAATTCAACATATTCTGGGGTTCAGTAAATATTTCATGGCCAGACAACTGGGATGTTCCCCCAGCAGTTCCACTTGCAGAGCTGGGGTGAAGATCCCTCATCTGGTCAGAGATTTAGGCTGAAAGTCCCAGTTTGGGGTCTCTTAATTTCCCCTCCCACAGGACGAAGTTGTCAGGGCGGCTGCAGATCCAGTTCTTCTCCCTGTGGCACAGGGATGAGCTGATCCACCAGTCATCGAGGTACCCACAGGGCCCCACACCCCTCACCTCTAACCTGCAATGCCAACGGGACCAGAGTCAGAAAGGGAAAAGGAAAAGAAGAAAACTCCCCCCAAAAAATTAAGAAGAGCTGGGATTTCCCCTCCCGCAGAGAAGAGCTTTGGCTGGGGGGGGTCTCTAATTCTCTGATCAGGGTTGGGGGGCAGCGACCTCGGCCCATCCAACCCCCCATGGAAAGCCAGGAGCTGCCTGGACACGGGGCAGGAGAAGGTGCCCATCCCAGGATGGGGCATCCCAGACTCCAGGAAATCCCTGGGGCCCACCCCGGGGCTCCAGCACGGACACAGGGACCCACCTGCCATTCAAGGCCGTGCCATTGATCCACTCCCAGCCGTTATCCCTCATTCCCAGCCCGATCCAGTGGTTTGCTTCGCCTTTATAGCGCAGAAGGAAGGCCTGCAAAGCAAAGAAACGTTGGTTTTGGCCAGTCTTGCCTTCCTCACCTCCTCTTTCCCTCCTGTGTCCACCCCCAGCCAGACCTGGGGCTTTTCCCAAGGGGTTGGCTCCCGGCTCCAGCACTGGCAGCACTTTGGGGCCAGCCTGGGGGGTTTGGGGCTGGTTTCATCCTCTTGGTTTCCCTGTGTTTCCCACCCTGGTGCTGCTGCAGAGGCTCAAGCCCAGTCCTCACCAGTTCATCCCAGTCCTCACCAGTTCATCCCAGTCCTCACCAGTTCATCCCTCGTGCTAATGGTGGCCAGGGAAGCTCCCAGGGCCTCACACCTTTCCCGGCCCGTGCTCCAGTTGCCCTCAGGCTCAGAAAAATAATAGCATTTTCCTTGGAAAACAGGCCAGGTGTCTGGGCACACGTGGGAGAATTCCGGCTCACGGAAAGGGGGTCTCACACTGAGAACTGAAACACAGAAAGCTGAGTCAGACACATGGGCAGCCCTGAAAAGCAGCAAAATGGGGTTGATTCCTTGGTTTTTTTTTTTCCAGCAGAGGAAATTGGGGGATGATGATTTTGGGAAAGGGAATGTTGTGACTGAGTGAAGAGCAGGTGCCTGGAGCAAAGTGCAGGGAAAAAAGGGAGTCACCCACTTTAGGAGCCTCCCTTGATGCCGGGAATGTCCTGGGATCCTCCCATCTCCCAAAACGGAGGCGCCTGGCCCGGATCCTCCCCATGGAGGTGCCTGGGTAGGACTCACCAGTCACTGCCACGACCAGGCTCAAGCTGAGGATCCCCAGGAACACACTCTGAGCGAGGAGAACACGCACCTTGGGGGATGTTCTCTGGTCTGACTTGGTTCTGTAGGACCCTGGGGCAGGAAAGAGCAGGGTGAGGATGGCCTGGCTCCTCTCCCCTCTGCTTTGCCCTCCTGTGCTGGACCCTCAGCCCATCCCGAGCCCCACCCAGGACAGGGACCCCTCTGGGGGCTCAGGAGGGCGGGAGAGCTGAGAGGGTCCTTCAGAGCCACCAACGTGTGTTTGAGGGCCTGGAGACTGATCTTCAGCCTCCAGAGGTGAATTCCACAGTGTGGAATTCAGTGCAGCTGTGCCTGGGCTGCTCCACACCCACCCAAAGGCTCCATCCCCATCCCACTGGTGCCGCCCCGGAGTGAGATGCTCTTCCCACCCCCTGCCCTCCCCCAGAGCATTTGGGGTTTTCCCAGCATTTCCACATTTGCACTGTTCCTCTGGATCACTGCAGGTATTCAGGGCTTCCTCTTGGCCTGAAGAATTTGGCTTTTGGGTTTCTTTCTCCATCCTTGCAGAGAAGCCTCAGGGCCTGGGGCTGTCGTTCCCTGGGCTCTGTGGGGTGGATGCACTCGGCAGCCTGGGGTGGAAGGAGAGGAGAGGCTGAGGGGACCTGCAGGCAGCTGAGACCTCCTGGGCCACAGCCCAGCCAGCCAGGACAGCCCCTGTGGGGCACTGACGCACAAGGTGAATCAGCCTCTGGCACGGGTGGTGGGTCAGAAAGGACAGAGGGACAGGAAAAGAGAGGTGATTTGCAGGAGGAAAGCTCAAGGATGTGCTCAGATACAGCATTTCCAGAGCAGTGAGAGGGTTAAATTGGTAGGAGAAAGAAACGAATATAGGATGAGGCAGAAGGGGTGGTGTTCCAGCACCCTGGGAGGTTTCCTAAGGACAAAGCCCAGACCTTATCCAGGCTCTGAGCTGGGTCTGAAGATAAAACAAGTATGGCATGGCAATGACATGACTGGTGAAGGGTTTCCTATTTCAAAAACTAAAGTGTCACAGTTTAAGATTACAGAAGCCCCAGTGCACAAAGTCAGCCCCCTCATTTCAAGCCAAAATTTCTCCTACTTTAATTTCTGCCTCACAATGTCGACTGTACAAATTCAACAAATTCCCCTAAAAGGACCCCCGAAGGTTCACGTTGTGAGACCCCCCCCCTGGTGCAGCCCAAGCTCCTGCCCAGGTTCAATCCCTCCCAAGCCCACCGTGGTTTCCTCCAGCTCCCCCCAAAATCACTGTTCATTCCACTCAATTGAAACAAATTAAAGTCCTTTCTGTCATATCATCATTTACCTCTTTTCACCTCTTTTCTCATTTCTCTTCCCGAGAAGCAACCCTGTCAGCAACAAGGGGCTGAAAAAAACCCAACAAAATCACTGAAGAAGCAGCAAAAATGACAAACCAGCCCAACCCCGCAGCAGACACTCAAACCAACCCCACGGTAGCAAAAGCCTCACTAAACCCAGCTGTAAAACTGTGACTTTTGGGGTTTATTCCCCCCTTCCCCTTTAACGTGCCACGTTTAATTAATCAGGTGGTCATTGCAGCCCCCCCAAAGACAAGACCATGATGTGGGGGCTCAGCCCTGTCCCAGCCGTGGCTCACTGTGGGCAGGGAGCACCCACCACCCCGAGTTTGGCAGCCCAGGAGCTGCTCTCTAGTACTCACCTTGACAGGGCAGCTCTCGGAGACTGGGAGATCTCCCGGTAGGGTGTGGTTAGTCATAAACAAGGGCAAAAGGGATTTGGGGCCGTTTTTTCCCCCTTTTCGGAGGGAAATCGGGTGCGTTTGTGCGCCGCGGCCGGCAGGGGATGCGCACGAGCCGGGAATTCCCGCGGACATTCCCGCGGACATTCCCTCGGTCCTGTCCCGGCCCCGAGCGGCCCCCGCAGCCCCCGCGGGACCCCAAAAACAACTGTGGGGGCAGCCCCAGAAACCAGGACTTGGCCCCTCAGGCGCTTGGAGCTGCACGAGGGGGGTAAAGGATCCCCCGGTGTCCCCAGGAGCAGCTCTGCCCCCCCAGAACCGGGCCGTGTCCTGACCGATGGGGCTGAGGGGGACAAAGGGGGTGTCAGACAAGTGGGGAAAAACCCCCCTAAATGACCGGGGGGTGTCAGCTCCTCCTGCCCTGCCTGGTTCTGACCCTCCCATGGCTGCAGCATTTCTGCCACCACCCCATCCCTGAGAGATGCTTCTTGGGGAAGCAACACAAAATATCACCTGTCACGTTTCAACCTCACCCCCTAAAAACCTCAATCAGAGGCTTTTTGAGTTAATTTAATAAATTAATTTGATTAATTTAATAATTTTCCGCCTGTTTGGCCCAACCCTGCGCGTGTTCCTGCACCTCCAGGTGAGGCCCCCCCCTCCTCCTCCTGGCCGGGGACACCCTAAACCCTTTCCCCAGGCAGAGGGGAGGCTGCAGAATATAGAGATATGTTTAAAAAAAAAACCCAAAGAAACAGATGAAAGGCCCAGTTGGTGCCATTTCCTGGGGCCGGACGCGCATTGGTCACGAGGTGAGAAGGTGTCCGAGGCTGGTGTCGCTCTCCGGACACGCCAACGACCTCCAGAGCCACCATGGCTGGGGAAATGGGTCATGCCAATCTAAGAAATCCTGGGAATGAGCCTTCCCCGGCTGAGAAATGTCCTGGTGAGTGTATTTTGGGGGGAAAAAGGCTTATTTCAGGCCCTGGGAAGAGTTTTGGGTCTGTTACCTTTGGGGTCCCTTCACTTCTCCATCCCCATGTTCAGGTTTCCAAGCTCACGGAGTGGCCTTTGAAATGGGGTCTGGGCTTGTCTGGAGCAAGACAGGGACAGGAGAAGCTGGAAAATCTCCAGAACTGGAAGAGTTTTGTTTCCCAGACCCTTCACTTGGTGGCCAAAAGGGACCCCAGGAAGCCCCAGGGGAGCCACCACCCCTGGGAGGGCAGGGAAGGGGCTGAGCCCCGTCCGGACCCCGGAGGAGTCGAGGGCTGGAGGGACCCACAGCCACCAACTCCCAGCTGGAAACTGAGCCCGTTTGGGAGTTCCCAGGTCCTGCCCTCTGGCACTGGGTCCTTGAGGCTGCTCCCGAGGCTGCTGCACCCCCTGAGCCCCCCAATCTCCCCCGGGGGTGCTGCCCTGGCTCGAGCCCTGTCAGGGGGGATTTATGGCTTTGGAGGAAGCAAAGCAACCAGAAACTTCTGCTCGAACTCACAGCTCAGCACAGGGGTTTGGGGTTTTTTTGTGCTCTAAACCCCCAATCTTCTTCGTGTTTTTTTAAGCTTAAATGTGGTCTCTTCCAGCTCCTGCCCTGTGCCCGTGGTGGCACAGAGTCCTCCTCACAGCCGGGGCTCTGGGGCACCTCGTCCTGCTGGTGCTGGTGGTGCTCCGAAATGTGAGTGGTGAGTAACCAGCTCTTATCTCCATCTCACACCCTGACAAGATGCCTGGGAGCGGAAATCTGGGTTTGTTGCAGCGGTTCAGGCCCTGGAGGGTTGGTGCAGACACGAGAGCCAAGAGCAAAACCCCCTCTGGGCACACCTGGAGCATCCCCATGAACGAGGGAGGAGGGCAAGACCCATGGGCTTCGGACCTAATTTATTAACTGCAGGGCAAAACCCGACCTGTCTCTGTGGGGTTTGTGGTTTGGCTTCAACTTCTCACTTTGCTCCCAGTTTTTCAGGGCTCTCCAGGTCCTGAAAGTGACACCAGAGTTGAGATCCAGGCCAGGAACCAGACGGAGCGATGCATCTTCCCATCCCTGGTGCGGTACTTCTGCCAGCCCCAGGGGCAGAGCCCCCCAGGTGAGCCCCCTTCCCACCTGGCTCTGCTGGGAGAGGCTCAGGTGGGACCTCGGGGGGCTCCTCCTGCGAGGAGACCCTGCACTGAGGGTTTGGTGCCTTTCATTTGGGGGGTCGGGGAAGACCTTGCCCACCTTTGGGGTGTCTCATTCATGGCCTTTCCTCCTCTCCAGCCTCTGCTGGTTGCAAGTTGTGCCCCCAGGACTGGCAGCTCCGTGGGGAGAGATGCTACTGGCTCTCCAAGGAATCGGGAAACTGGACTGGGGGCAGGAAAAGCTGCAAAGATCAGGGCTCTGAGCTGGTGGTGCTCAAGAACGAGGCAGAAATGGTAAACAGGGAGGAAAAGGCTTGGAAAGGACCCAGAAGTCTTGGGGTTTTTAGGGGAGCCGGGGAGCAAAAGGCTCCCAGCAGCAGGAGGGTTTGGGGTTCAGAGCACGGGCCGCTTGTGTCCCACGGATTTGGGGGGTCAGGTTTGTTCTGTGGCTTTGCACCCCATGGAACTCCCCACAGAGATTTTTTTGGAGCAACTGGTCCCTTCCACGTCCCAGGAGAATGTCGAGAGTGTCACAGGCAGACGCCCGTGGTCGGTGTGGGTCGGGTTGAGGTCACAGCAGAAGGAGTGGACGTGGGTGGACGACACCCCCTACGACCCCCACAGGTGAGTGTCCAAGGTCTGGAGGGGTAAAAAAGCAGCTTTGATTCATTTGAGACCCCGATCCATGTCCACATGTCACTGGGGTCCATGCAAGGGCCTCTTATTCCTCTGGCAACACTCTGCAGACCGACAATCGGGGTCACAGGGCACACTGGGGTCATGGGGCACATTGGGGTTGGTTTTGGGGTATTTGGGGTCACAGGGCACGTTGGGATTGGTTATGAGGCAATAAACCCTTTGTCGTGCAGGTTTGGGGACCTGCCGGAGGTGGATGAAGGGTGTGGGACCCTGAAAGGCAAGAGCTTGGATGTTGATGTCTGTGCCAGTGACCACAAGTGGCTTTGCCAAAAAGCCCCTTTCCAGCTCTCCCTGGCCATGGCAGGAGACGTTGGGAAGCTGGATGATGCCTCCACCTGACACACTCAGGCAACGGACCCCGTGTGGTATAACAAAATCATTTATTACAGTTCTTTCATGGTTTATCCACCTCGTTACATCAGCAGTAAATTCCAGTCAGTAGCTTTTCTCTATATCCACTTTTTAGTTAAGCATTCTCTGCCCAGGAGAAAAATACTCCCAAGCAGTTTCACAGACACACAGATACATCTCACCACGTCTGTATTCAGATTGCCAAGTTCCCCTTAAGTTTCTCCCAGAGTCACATAATCTCGCTTCCCATCACTTCAGTGTTATTTTTATGCTTTTACATTACTATAGATGACAATAAGCCAAGCGGCTCCATCCCTGCTTTCCTTTGCAACCAAACTGTCCTAAAATAAACACACATATTCCAACACCCGTCCCTTCGGTGTCATTACTGTGAGGGCAGTTCTGTGAGGGCAGTTGTGTGAGGGCAACTCTGTGAGGGCCACTCTGTGAGGGCGACTCTGTGAGGGTGATTCTGTGAGGGCAACTCTGTGAGGGTGACTCTGTGAGGGCAACTCTGTGAGGGCAACTCTGTGAGGGTGGTTCTGTGAGGTCAGTTCTGTGAGGGCGTTTTGCCATCTTGGCTCCCTCAGGGTGAACGTGCCCACCTCGGCACCCATGGGCGTTCCCTCGGACCTTTCCCCACCCGCACAGGGCAAGCGGACCCCGCAGCTCCCGCCCCGACCAGGACACAGGGACAGCGGTGGGGTCGTACAAACTTTAATGCAAATGGAATAAAAGGAGAAGAAGAGAGAAGCACAGCAGCAGCACTGATACAGTAACTCTGCTGAGGCCACAATCAGGACATTGTACATTCACATTCACAGTTTCTTATAGCTTTCAGCAATGGAAAAATACTTCACTTGTGCACATTCAAGCACTATAGTGTTTGAAAATAGTGCATACAGTGTTATGGATGTAGACTCCTAGCGTGTAAATATAAAGTAAATACAAATAGAGGATGAGGAAGACTTCTGGAGAAAGAAACCCCTAGTCCACGAAGGCAGAAATCCATTTTCACATCATGTCCCTGCAGGTTCACCTCCTTGAGACCAGTTACTGAGGTGACAATGACAAAAGGCACCGAGGTTACTGAGGTTGTGCTGAGAAGAAACCTCCCCCTGTCCTGTTCCAGTGCTGCCCAGCGTCTGTGGCTCCACTCCATCCCCCCCTCCTGAGTCCCCCTTTCCAGGGAGAAACAGATGGGGGGGATGGAGGGGATGGACAGGGGGAAAACGGGACACTAAGGAAAAAAATTCCAACATCTCTCTTCAAACCCAGGACAATATTAAACAGGACCGGATCCCAAATGGATGCAGCTCCATTCCCACCACTCTCTGGGCCCAACATTCCAGCCAGTTCCTAACCCAGCACAGAGGGCCCTTTCCAGGCCATGGGTTGCAGCTTTTCCAGGAATGTTGCCTGGGAGACAGTGACCAAGGCTTTGCTGGAGGACTTTTCAAGGTCCCTCTGGATGCCGACCCCAGGGAAGGGCTGGAGCGGTGCCAGGGCAGGGTCAGGTTGGGTCTCAGGAAAAGATTTTTCCCTCAGAGGCTGGTTGGGCACTGTCCAGGCTCCCCAGGTGGGCGACCTTGGGATGGGGGAACACCTCCCTGAGACCCCCCTGTGCCAGCCTGGACGGCACCTTCAGGGAGCTGAGGAGGATCCTGTGCCCCCTGCGAGGTAACCCCCCACCCCCCGGGGGTCCCATCGATGCCCCCTCCCCAAACTTAAGCCGGGCTGGAGCCTCTCCCTGTCCTCCCACGGTACCTCAGCGCGCCAGGGTCCATCTGTCTGTCTGTCTGTCTTTCTGTCCCACAGAGGCCGAGGGGTGCAGGCTCTGCCCCGTGGGCTGGATGCTGGGCAGGACCAAGTGTTACTGGGTCTCGGAAAGGATGAACTCGTGGCACGGGAGCCGGGAGGACTGCGGGGACCGCGGGGCCGCGATGGCGATGCCGTGGGACAAGGACGAGCTGGTGAAGGGACCGAGGGGACAGAGGGGCTGGAGGCACCCCAGGGGAGGGCGAAGGGCTCCCCAGAAGCCTGGGATCACACCCCTCATTCCCAAATTCCCCGCGGTGCCCGTGGCAGACCGGGGGGGAGGGACATGGGTCTGGCTCGGTCCCGGGGTGAGGATGGAGCCTATTTTGGGGTGACCATCCCCGGCCCGGCAGCGCCACCACTGCCCCTTTCCCCGGGCCAGGATTCCCTCAATGAGACCCTGAGGAAACCCACGCGCCACTTCTGGATCGGGCTCTCGGTGCCCGCGCCCGGGATGGGCTGGACGTGGGTGAACGGCTCCCGCCCGGACTGGAGCCGGTGAGGAGCGCTGGGGGGTCGGGGTGGGCACCCCCCTGTCCCCCGAGGGCCCCCCGGGGGTGACACGGGCCCCCTCCCGCACACGCAGGTTCCCGCAGGACCTCGGGGAGGGTCCCGGAGCCTGCGGGGCGCTCAAGGGGAGACAGGATCGACCCCCGCGCCTGCGACACGGGGCTGCAGTGGATCTGCCAGACGGAGTCCGCCCGGATCTGAGCCTCCACCGCACCCAAACCCCACCGTTAATGCGGGAAAAAATCCCCGATTCCCGCGGGTTCGGCACCCACCGGCAGCTCCCGGGGCAGGGGCAGAACCGCGGCTGGAGAAAATCGCCCTGGGATGGGCGATGCGAGGGCGGCCGGGGTGCGAGGGAGGAGGAGAAATCGAACTACGGAAAGAATAAAAACTAAAAATAACTTGTAAAATTCACTTTGCGGGGGAGTCGGTGGCGAACCACCCCCCGATTCCCACCTCCCACCGTTGCCAGAGGGCGGAGCGGACCTGCCTGTCCGTCGGGGCAGCTCTTTTAGGGACGCGGGGCAGGGGACGCTCCCCGGTGCCGCTCATCCCCCCTCACAGCGCTCGGTACCGCCGCGAGTGTCCCTCGGTGTCGCAGTTTCGGTCGCGGGTCTTTTATTGCCTTCTCTCTTTTTTTTCCGTTCAACCCCCCCATCTCCCCGCCCCGGGGCGGCCCTTTCGCCGCCGCCGCTCCTCGCCCGCCCCTCGTCGCAGCGCTTCAGTGACACGGGGTGGGTCCCACGAGCCAAGGCAGGGTCTGTCTGTCCCTCCGGGCAGCTCCTGCAGCACCGCCGCGGCTCTGCTGTCGCGTTTAATTCTATTTTCTATATTTTATTCGCAGCTCCCACCCTGCTCGGCACAGCCCTTCTGGCCACCCCCAACACCGCCCGTTCAGTGACACGGGGCGGGGGGACCCCTCGGTGCAGCCTTTTATTCTGTTTTACTCTATTTCTTGTCTTTTCTTCTGTTCCCACGCTCGCTGCGGCTCTTTCAGACGTGGGCGGTGGGAACCCCTCGCAGCGATTTTAACGCCCCCGCGGAGCCAAGAAATGCCGGGAAACAGTTTCCATGGTCTGGAGCCAACGCGCTGCTGCTTCTCCTGCCAGTCCCCGGCACGTTTTTACAAGCAGTGACTCAAATCGTCAGCGCTCGGTGCCCCTGGGCTCCAAACTGCTGGGGCAGGAGCCGCTGGGCACAATCCTGAGATACCTTTCCCCACTCCCCTCATCACGACTGTTGAGCTTTTCTTCACGGAAATAATTCCCCTTGGCAATGAAAGGCTGTATAACAAGGTCATAAGTACTATTATGTCAATATTTGTGCTTGGTTGGGTGCATTCCGGTCCATCTTTTATGGTATTTAAAGTGCAGAGCCTCCATCCCAGCCTTATGAGCAACCACGTGGGACCCCTTCAGCCAACAGCCTCCCCCTGGGTTTCTCAGATGTCACAATGCTGGTCATACATCCCCAAGAGCTTCTCATTTCTTCTGGCTCCAAACTGTGCAGCTTTCACGAGGTGACAGTTTGGAATAATTCTGTCCCCTGCCCGGGTGAGGAGGGGGGTGACAGAGCAGCATCTGGCACCAACCAGGGCCAGCCCATCACAGATCCCTTGGTTGGGAACTCTTAAATATTTGTAAGTAAGCAAGGTGCAAAAAATGGACTTTGTTCCTTCAAAAATGAACCACACTGAGAGTTGTTGGAGAACAGCAAAACAGCCAAAGAGCTGTAAACTGAAAACCACGCCTCTGTGTTTGACTCCCGTCCTGTCTGTGGCTCAACAGACTCAGTTCCGAGAAATCAGCCACCCATTGACAGCTGCCCTGCGAGGTGAGTACTCCAGAGCAGCCCCTGGGCTGCCAAACTCGGGGTGGTGGGTGCTCCCTGCCCACAGTGAGCCACGGCTGGCACAGGGCTGAGCCCCCACATCATGGTCTTGTCTTTGGGGGGGCTGCAATGACCACCTGATTAATTAAACGTGGCACGTTGAAGGGCAGGGAGGAGTAAACACCAAAGGTCACAGTTTTACAGCTTTTGCTACCATGGGGTTGGTTTGAGTGTCTGCTGCGGGGTATGCTGGTTTGTCATTTTTGCTGCCTTGTAAGAGCTTCTTCAGTGAATTTGTTGGGTTTTTTTCAGCCCCTTGTTGCTGACAGGGGTTGCTTCTCAGGAAGAGAAATGAGAAAATCGTGGTGAAAAGAGGTAAATAATGATATAAAAAGGACATTAATTTGTTTCAGTTGAGTGGAATGAACAGTGATTTTGGGGGGAGCTGGAGTGAACCAGCTGGAAACCACGGTGGGCTTGGGAGGGATTGAACCTGGGCAGGAGCTCGGGCTGCACCGGGGGGGTCTCACAACGTGAACCTTCAGGGGTCCTTTTAGGGGAATTTGTTGAATTTGTACAGTCACACTGGGAGGCAGAAATTAGTCATCATAAAGGAGCAAAAATGATGGTGGGAGTGGGTGAATCAGTAACTGCACTGGGTCTCTTTTAGATTCAAATTGGTAGTTCAGTTTTGCAAATGTTAAAACCTTCACCAGCCCACTGGTTTCTGGCTCAGAATTGGGTTTGGGAGGGATTAAACCTGAGCAGGAGCTCGGGCTGCACCAGATGGGGTCTTACAAGGTGAACCTTTGGGGGTCTTTTTAAGGGAATTTGTTGAATTGTTCAGTTGTCACTGTGAGGCAGAAATTAAAGTAGGACTGAAATTGTGGCTTGAAATGAGGGGATGGAACTTGTGCACTGAAACTTCTGCCATATCAAGCAGGTCCAGGCACTTGATAGTTTCGTTTATAAAATAAGAAGCCCTTCATCTGTAACGATCCCTCCCCCACTTTCGGGCTCAGCTCCAGCTCAGAGCTTGGGCAAGGTCTGCCCTTTATCCTGTTGCACTTCAGAAACCCCCCGGATGAGGAAGCACCCCCCTCTTCTGGCCCATCCTGTGTTTGTTTCTCCTATCAATTTAACCCTCTCACGGCTCTGGAAACGCTGTTATCTGAGCACTCCTTGAGCTTCCTCCTGCAAACCCCCTCTGAGGGAATCGCTTTGTGCTTTTTTCATGTTTGTTTGCCCACAATCAAACCTTTGCAGCTTTCAGAGTTCACTTTGGCAATGAAATATTGCTGTTTTATCAGGACACGTTCCTGTTGAGCTTCTGTTGGTACGTTTGCTGCTGCTAACTTAACATAAGACCCAAGAGGACCAAAAGCTGCTGTCTCTGTTGGTTTGGGGTGCAGGGAACCAGGTCGTGCTCCTGCAACAGTGGGCACGGGGGAGGGGGAACCAGAGCGGGGTTTCCTGTGAGCAAAACAAGCTCGTAGGGAGCCACAAACAGAAAACTTGAGCAGAACAGGTGCTGTGAACTGTCACAGGCTACTTTCCATCCTGTGTGTTTTTGCAAAAGGGCCCCAAAGCACAAACTCTGCTCCGAGCTCTCGGTGCCTCTTCTGAGCCCTGAACAGGCTCCTGTGCCCTGCAAACACTTCAGCTGCCTTTGAGCTGTGAGTTCTCAATGACTTATTTATTTAATAAAGTGTTTTAAAACTTGTCTTTCTCTTTCCTTTCTGCTTAATTTGTTTGAAGTTGTTTTTTCCTCTTTAATCTTAGTCCCTTCCCTCTCTTTCCCTCCCTTATCTTTTCCCCTCCCTCTGTCCTTTGTGCTGCCTCCTCTCCCAGATGTGTGTTCAGCCCTGCCAGATGGTGCCCCTTGGCACCACGATAACACTGAGAGCCAGTGCCAACCCCACAGGGGCTGTTGTGGCTGGCTGGGCTGTGGCCCAGGAGATCTCAGCTGCTTGCAGGTCCCCTCAGCCTCTCCTCTCCTTCCACCCCAGGCTTCCACCCCACAGAGCCCAGAGACACATCAGCCCTGGCCCCTGAAGCTTCTCTGCAAGGATGGGGAAAGGAAGCCAAAGGCCAAATTCTTCAAGCCAAGAGGAACCACTGAACACCTGCAGTGATCCAGAGAAAGAGTCCAAATGTGGTAATGTTGGGAAAACCCCAAATGCTCTGGGGGAGGGAAGGGGGTGGGAAGAGCATCTCGCTCTGGGGGGGGCAGCAGTGGGATGGGGATGGAGCCTTTGGGTGGGTGTGGAGCAGCCCAGGCACTGAATTCCACACTGTGGAATTCACCTCTGGAGGCTGAAGATCTGTCTCCAGGGCCTCAAACACACGTTGGTGCCTCTGAAGGACTCCTGAGCCCCCAGAGGTGTCCCTGGATGGGCCTGGGTGGGGCTCGGGATGGGCTGAGGGTCCAGCACAGGAGGGCAAAGCAGAGGGGAGAGGAGCCAGGCCATCCTCACCCTGCTCTTTCCTGCCCCAGGGTCCTACAGAACCAAGTCAGACCAGAGAACATCCCCCAAGGTGCGTGTTCTCCTTGCTCAGAGTGTGTTCCTGGGGATCCTCACCTTGAGCCTGGCTGGAGCAGTGACTGGTGAGTTCCACCCAGACACCCCCATGGGGAGGATCCGGGCCAGGTGCCTCCCTTTTGGGAGGTGGGAGGATCCCAGGACCTTCCCAGCATCAAGGGAGGCTCCTAAAGTGGGAGCTTTGCACTTTGCTCCAGGCACCTGCTCCTCGCTCAGTCACACCTTTTCCCAAGAGAATCATCCCCAGTTTCCCTCTTCCAGCTGCTGGAAAAAAAAACCCCAAGGAATCAATCCCATTTTGCTGCTTTTCAGGGCTGCCCACGTGTCTGACTCAGCTTTCTGTGTTTCAGTTCTCGGTGTCAGACCCCGGTTCTCTGAGCAGGAATTCTCCCACGTGTGCCCAGACACCTGGCCTGGTTTCCAAGGAAAATGCTATTATTTTTCTGAGCCTGAGGGCAACTGGACCACGGGCCGGGAAAGGTGTGAGGCCCTGGGAGCTTCCCTGGCCACCATAAGCACCAGGGAGGAACTGGTGAGGACTGGGATGAACTGGTGAGGACTGGGATGAACTGGTGAGGACTGGGCTTGAGCCTCTGCAGCAGCACCAGGGTGGGAAACACGGGGAAACCAAGAGGATAAAACCAGCCCCAAACCCCCCAGGCTGGCCCCAAAGTGCTGCCAGTGCTGGAGCCGGGAACCAACCCCTTGGGAAAAGCCCCAGGTCTGGCTGGGGGTGGACACAGGAGGGAAAGAGGAGGTGGGGAAGGCAAGACTGGCCAAAACCAACGTTTCTTTGCCTTCCAGGCCTTCCTTCTGCGCTATAAAGGCGAAGCAAACCACTGGATCGGGCTGGGAATGAGGGATAACGGCTGGGAGTGGATCAATGGCACGGCCTTGAATGGCAGGTGGGTCCCTGCGTCCGTGCTGGAGCCCCAGGGTGGGCCCCAGGGATTTCCTGGAGTCTGGGATGCCCCATCCTGGGATGGGCACCTTCTCCTGCCCTGTGTCCAGGCAGCTCCTGGCTTTCCATGGGGGGTTGGATGGGCCGAGGTCGCTGCCCCCCAACCCTGATCAGAGAATTAGAGACCCCCCCCAGCCAAAACCCTTCTTTCCCAGAGAGGAAATCCCAGCTCTTCTTATTTTTTGAGGGGGTTTTCTTCTTTTCCTTTTCCCTTTCTGACTCTGGTCCCGTTGGCACTGCAGGTTTGAGGTGAGGGGTGGGGGGCCCTGTGGGTACCTGAACCAGGGCAGGATCAGCTCGTCCCTGTGCCACACGGAGAAGAACTGGATCTGCAGCCGCCCTGACAACTTCGTCCTGTGGGAGGGGAAATTAAGAGACCCCAAACTGGGACTTTCAACCTAAATCTCTGACCAGATGGGGGAACTTCACCCCAGCACTGCAACTGAAATATTCGGGGTGAATCCAAAAAATCAGGTACAAGGAACCGGTGCTATCCCCCATCCTTTGGATCTTTTGAGCAGTAAATGCCAGGACCAAGTGTGGTTTGCACCACAGAAAACTTGCTCAAAAGGTTCATGCAAATGCAAGTGATATTTATACAATTTGCTTTAAGTGCACATTTATATGAGTACAACATTTATGTAGCCATATTAATAATAGGTGGAGAATAGGCGGAGCTCTGGCCGGTGTTTCTCTTGGCCCTCCATTTTGGTGGGGGGTAAATCAGCCTCTTTTCACGCTTTTTTCAGCCTTATTTCAAGCTTTTTCTGCGGTGGCCATGGTTTGGGGGCGGTTTTGGGGTGAGAAAGGAGCCTTTTAGTGCCCGTTCTCACCCTCCTGGTACTTCCACTCCACTCCCGCTCTTCTCTCCCTTTAAAAACCCTCAGCACGTGCTGATTGGCCGATTAAACCGCACCCCCTCACTCCCATTGGCCGCTCCTCCCCGCGCTCCGCCCCTTCCCTTTCCCCGCCCTCAGGTCGGACCTGGGTGGGAACTGCGCCCCCCCGCGGGCATTCCAGGAAAGGCGGGGGGCGGACGTGGCTGAAGACTGCGAGAGTGGGGTCCGTTTTAAGTAGAAAAAGGCGGATTTTGGGGCCGGGTTTGCAACGTTTCACGTTAATAAAAAGCAAGTGTTTATAAAACTGAAGCTTGAAAGCTGCTTTTTAAAATCATTGTTTTGTTATACACAAAAAAACAACCAGTTTGGGTGTATTGTCAATGATTTGTGATGCCCCCAAACCACCAATTATTAATTGTGAATTAATAACTGTGTCCTAATCATTGTGTCAATAACTGATTTTTATATCCCAAACCCACCATTTGGGGTGAATTGATGACTAATTTAATATACCCCAAACAATGGGGGGAACCCCCCCAAAATCCTCTGGGGAGTGGGTGCCGACTCCAGGTAGGACCTGGCTGACCAAAACAACCTCAATTTTGGGTGAGATCTCCATTTTTTACCTTTTATTCTGCAAAATAACCTTTCAGCACCACGAGTGGTGGTGACAGAACAACGCTCAGCTGGGGCACCAAACCCCTAAAATAACGAGGGGAACCCCCCCAAAACTTTTTCAGGAGCAGGTGCCAACTCCAAGCAGGAGCCATGGGTGGGAATTCTGAGGCAGAATTTCCGTTTTCGACCTTTTATTCTGCAAAACCACCTTTGGCCCCCATTCTGAAATGGCCTCTGGAAAACAAAGAACCAAGCCCCCACCATGTGACAGTTCAACCCCATCCGTGTGCCAAGGGCTCCTTTGTGGTGTCACAGCCTGTCCTCTCCATTCCGGAATGGGCCCTGGCAACCAAAGAACCAACGCCCTCCAACCCCAAAGTGAAGCCCCACCTTTGTGCCATGGGCCCTCTTGTGATGTCACGGCCTATCCCCTCCATTCCAGAATGGCTGCTGGAAACCAAAACACCAATGTCTCACAGCCCCTAGTGCAGCCCAACCCCTGTGCCATGGGCCCCTTTGGGATGTCACAGCCTGTCCTCTCCATTCTGGAATAGCCCCTGGCAACCAAAGAACCAACACCTCACACCCCCACAGTGCAGCCCCACCTGTCTGCCACGGGACTTTTTGGGATGTCACGGCCTTTCCCCCAGGAAACAAAGCCTGGAACCAGGTCTCAAAAATAGATTTCTCTGCCAGGTCTCTGACCACTGAAATATGGCAGGCCTTAAACTTTTACTTTGTTTTTCTAACAAATGGCCATGGCCCAGAACTTGTCCATCATCCATTGTCTCTTGCCCCCATTCAATCTCCTGCCAGCAGTTTCTCCCCACTGCTGGGTGGGCTCCTTTGTCAAGCACTAGAACTTGTTGGGTAACAGGCCCAGTCCTGTTGCATATTTTTCGTGGGGATGTGCAGGAGGGCATTGAGTCTTCCAGGAGCAAATTGGCAGAGGACCCCAAGCTGGCTTGCAGTGTGGATGTGCTGGAGGGTAGGAAGGCTGTGCAGAGGGACCTGGACAGGCTGGACCTCTGGGCCGAGCCCGTGGGCATGAGGTTCAAGAGTGCCTTTGGTGCCTTTGGGGCCTCTGGCCACAAGAACCCCCTGCAGCTCCAGGCCAAGGGCAGAGGAGCTGCAAAGGGTCCCCGTGGGAGAGGCCCTGGGGGTGCTGGTGGACAGAGGCTGAACCTGAGCCAGCGGGTGCCCGGGTGGGCAAGAAGGCCAAGGGCAGGCTGGCCTGGATCAGAAAGAGTGTGGCAGCAGGAGCAGGGCAGTGATGCTTCTGCTGGACTGGGCACTGGTGAGGCCACAGCTGGAGTGCTGTGTCCAGCTCTGGGCCCCTCAATTCAGGGAGAACCTTGAGGGGCTGCAGTGGGTGGAGAGCAGGGCAATGGAGCTGGGCAAGGGTCTGCAGTGCCTGGCCTGTGAGGAGCAGCTGAGGGAGCTGGGCTTCTCCAACCTGGAGAAGAGGAGGCTCGGGGCTGACCTTCTCCCTGTCCACAACTTCCTGACAGGAGGCTGGAGCCAGGTGGGGGTCAGCCCTTTCTCTGAGGCAACAGGCGACAGGACAAGAGGACACGAGGACCTGCCTGTCAGGGGCTGTTTGTCAGGGACAGGAGCAGGACTTTTTGGAGAGAAACAGGGATTAGGTATTGAAATGGGCTGCCCAGGGAGGTGGTGGAGTCACCGTCCCTGGAGGTGTTTAAGCAAAGCCTGGCCATGGCACTGAGTGCCGTGGTCTGCTTGACGTGCTGGGGATGGGGCGTAGGCTGGACGCCGGTTGATCTCACAAGTCTCTGCCAAGCTCAGGGACTCTGGGCTTCTGTGCCAGCCCAGCCTTTGGGGACAGCGTGCTGGTGGCTCCGAGGCTCCGTCCTTGCCTTGCCTTGCCCATCTCCTGGCTGCCAGGCAAGGGCCTTGTGACATCACAGCCTCTGTGGAACAGCGCGGGGGCTGAAAACTGTCAGTGCTGCGTCCCCGTGCCCAGAGCCTGGGCAGAAGTCGGCTGGCAGGGACGGGCAGAGACTGTGCAGAGGTGTCAGCTCGTCCCGCAGCAGCACGATGCCCAGCCAGGGCATCTCCTGGCTCCTCAGGCTCTCGCTGCTCCTGCTCTTGCCTGGCCCACTCGAGCCTTGCAGCCGTGCCACAGGTGCCATTGCTGAGAACCGGGCTTTTCCTTGGATGGCCCCTTGCCAGAAAAGGCAGGAGAGGCTGGAGAGAGGGGAAGGAGGGGGGTCAGGCCGCTGGGATGGTGCCGGCGGGCCGTGAGCCCAAAGCCAGCAAGGCCTTGGGCCCACACGGTGTCAGGGGAGGACTGAGAGCCCCCAGGGAGGAGGAAAGCTGGGCAGGCCCCAAGGCTGCTGGGCCTCTTCCTTGCCAGCCCTTTGGCCAAGGCCCCGAGGCAGAGGTGGGGCTCAGCCCCTCCCAGCAATGGGGCACAGGCTGAGCCCCAGGGACACCAGAGCCAGGCGGCCTGAGCTCTTCTTCCTGCAGCGTCTGCCTGGGGCAGCCCAGCCAGGCCTGAGTCTCTGCAGGAGAGGCCAAGCCCAGCCAGAGAGGGCTCAGCCCTCTGAGGCTGCACTCACTGCAAAGGGAACAAAACATTGGCCCACAGGACATCCTGCCCCCAAAGGGAGAACTGGAAAGGTCAAGAATAAAAAAGTCATCCTCCTCCATTAGTCAAGAAATGTTCAGACCTCTTTCCTAAAAGCATCCAGGAGTCAGGTCACCCAGTTTTCTCGCTGACAAGGATTTTTCCATGGTCCCCTCAATTCCCAGCCCACCCAGGATCACTTATAAGGTCCCAACCCCCACTATTTCCCCCCTCATCTACCCCCCTACACACCATTCCCCCAATCCCCAGCGCCCTCATGCTCAGTTTGGGGGTCCCACCCTCCCCTTTTCCCCACTCTTCTGACCTCTCCCTCCCCTTTCCCATCTTCCCCCAATCCTCAGTCCTCCTCCACCTCCACTTTTGGGGGGTCCCAATCCCCCACTAAGTTTGGGGTCCCACCACCCCTTTTATCCCCTCTGACTCACCGACCCCCCCTTCCCAACACCCCCTCTCACCCAAGAGCTCCTCGCCTGCAGTGGGAAGGGCTCCCAGTAACACCAGAGCCCATGAAAGTTCCCCCAAAAAAGGGTTAGGTGGAGTCCTAGATGGACTCTGAGTGGGTTTGGAGGTTCCTTGGGGGCTGTGGGGTGGTTTAAGGGGGTCCTGCACACTTTGGGATGCGTTGGATGCCGTGTGGGGGTGCAGATGTCCCCCCAAAGCTCCCCCAGAACAGGGTGACACAAGGGGGGGGACAGAGGGGTTCCCATTCCTGATCCATCCTGGAGCAACCACACTGGGGGCAACTGGGATCAGAGTGGGAGCAGCTGGGCCCCTGCTGGGCTCATACTGGGATCATCCTGGGAGTGACTGCATAATACCGGGAGTATGTGAGAGGCACTGCAACCATACTGGGAGTGACTGGGATCAAACTAGATTCTTACTGGAAGTGTCTGGAAGTTCCTGGGATCATACTGGAGGTGACTGGACTCATAGTGGGATCATACTGGGAGCAACTGGGACCATGCAGGGGCAAATGGCATCGTCCAGGCAGTGACTGAAAGTGCCTGTGACCAGACTGGACTCAGACTGGGAGTCCCTGAGAGGGAAAGGAACCATCCTGGGGGGGGGACTGGGAGCAACTGGGACCACCTTGGGGGAAACTGCGATCCTATTGGGAGTGACTGGGAGTGACTGGGATGATAGTGGGAGTGACCAGGACCATACATGAACCATCCTGGGAGTGACTGTCAGTGACCGGGATCATACTGGGAGCAACTGGGATCGTGCTGGCGGCACAAAGGACAGAGGGAGGGGAGGGGAACAGAGAGGGGAGGGAAAGAGAGGGGAGAGGGAATTTTAGAAAGGATAAAGAGGAAAGGAAAACAAAAGAAAAGAAGAAAAGTAAGAGAAAAAGCCGAGTTTAAACATTCAGTAAATGTGTGAGTCACTGAGAGCTCCCAGGTCAAAGGCAGGTGAAGTGTTTGCAGGGGACAGGAGCCTGTTCAGGACTCAGGAGCTGCTGCTGCCCAAAGGGAGGAAACGCCCCGAGGGCTCGGAGCAGAGTTTGTGCTTTGGGGCCTTTGCCAAGAACCCGCAGGAGGGAAAGCAGTTCCAGCCAGGGGGGCCCAGGGGCTCCCAGCACGGGCCCAGGGGCTCCCAGTCACCCCCAGGATGGGCCCAGTCACCCCCAGGATGGACCCAGTCACGCCCAGGATGATCTCAGTCACTTTTAGTCACTCCCAGTCTGATCCCAGAATGATCCCAGTCACTCCCAGTCTGATTCCGTTTTCTCCTAGTAGGATCCAAGTTATCCCCTGCAAGTTCCCAGTTCCTCCCAGTCAGTCCTGGTGTCTCCCACTATATCCCAGTTGCCCCCAGTGTGGTCCCACTCACTCCCAGTTGTTCCCAGGTACCTTCCAGTATGATCCCAGTTGCTCACAGCCACTCCCAGTCACTCCCAGTGTGCTCCCAGTCGCTCCCACTATGTCCCCAGTTGCATCCAGCATGATCCCACTTGCTCCCAGTATATCCCAGTTGCGTCAGCACAGCATCAACTGCCCTCAGAATGCTCCCAGTCACTCCCATTATGACCCCAGTCACCCTCACTGTCAGCCCAGTTGTCCCCAGCATGGGCCAAGCTGCTCCCACTTGCCTCCACCACAGATCCAGTCAATCCAAGTGTGGTCCCAGTCTTCCCCCAGCATGGTCCCAGCCAATCCCAGTTGCCCTCTTGTACATCCAGTCACTCCCAGTTGATTCCAGTTGCCCCCCACATGGTCCAAGTCACTCCCAGTGTGATCCCAGTCACCCCCAGGATGGTTGCAGACTCTCCCAGTATATCCCAGTTGCCCTCAGCATGCTCACAGTCATACCCAGTTACTTCCACTTGCCCCAGGATGCTTCCATTCCCATCAGTACAATCCCAGTCACTCCCAGTCTATGCCAGTTGCCTCCAGAATGCACCCTGTCACTCCCAGTTACTCCCAGTTCCACCATACTTCCAGCATGGCCCCACTGGTTCCCAGTTCCCCCCTGAATAGTTCCAGTCACTCCAAGTATGATCCTGGGCACTGACAGTCACTCCCAGGATGGTTCCAGTATGGTCCTGGTCACTCCCACTATCATCCCAGTCACTCCCAATAGGATCGCAGTTTCCCCCAAGGTGGTCCCAGTTGCTCCCAGTCCCCCCCCCAGGATGGTTCCTTTCCCTCTCAGGGACTCCCAGTCTGAGTCCAGTATGGCCCCAGGCACTTTCAGTCACTGCCTGGACGATGCCATTTGCCCCTGCACGGTCCCAGTTGCTCCCAGTATGATCCCACTATGAGTCCAGTCACCTCCAGTATGATCCCAGGAATTTCCAGACACTTCCAGTGGATTCAGTGAATCCAGTTTGATCCCAGTCATTCCCAGTATAGTTGCAGTCCCTCTCACATACTCCCAGTATTATTGCAGTCACTCCCAGGATGATCCCAGTATGAACCCAGCACGGGCCCGATTGCTCCCAGTATGATCCCAGTTGCCCCCAGCGTGGTTCCAGTTGCTCCCATTCACCCCTTCTGTGCTTCCACTCACTCCCAGTATCATCTCAGTCACTTTTAGTCATGTCCAGTATCATCCCACTATTATCCCAGTCACTCCCAGTCTGATACCAGTCTCTCCAAGTAGGATCCAGGTTACCCCCTGCATGGTCCCAGTTGCTTCCAGTCACCCCACTAGAGTTCCACTCCCTCCCAGGACCATCCCAGTAGGATCCCAGTGACACCCCAGTTGGTGGCACTCACACCCAGGATGAACCCAGACATGCCCTGGCACTCCCAGGATAAAGCCATTTGCCCCCAGCAGGGTCCCAGTTCCTCCCAGTCACTGACTATGGTAAAAGTTGTTCCCAGGATGATCCCTGGCACTCCCAGTCACTCCCACTATAATCCCAGTCAGTCGCAGTATGATCCCAGTCACTCCTGGTCTCTCCCAGTATATCCCAGTTGCCTGCAGTGTGGTCCCACTCACTCCTGGTTGCTCCCAGTAGCTTCCAGCATAATCCCAGTTGCTCACAGCCACTCCCAGACACTCCCAGTGTGCTCCCAGTCACTCCCACTATGATCCCAGTCACCTCCAGAGTGATCCCACTTGCTCCCAGTATATCCCAGTTGTGCCAACATGGTCCCAACTGCCCTCAGAATGCTCCCAGTCACTCCCAGTATAACCTCAGTCACCCTCACTGTGGCCCCAGTTGCTCCCAGTATGGGCCAAGCTCTCCAGCTGTTATCCAAGTATGATCCCAGTACTCCCCAGCATGGTACCAGTTGCTCCCAGTTTCTCCCAGTGTGATCCCAGTTGCTCCAAGTTGCCCCTAGGACTGACCCAGTCACTCCCTGTAAGATCCCAGTCTGATCCCAGTATGACTCCAGCAGGGGCCCAGCTGCTCCCAGGATGATCCCAGTTGCCCCCAGCGTGGTTCCAGTTACTCCCATTCGCCCCCCCCCCATGGTTCCACTCACTCCCAGACACTCCCAGTATATCCCAGTTGCCCCCAACATGCTCCCAGTTGCTCCCAGTATGATCCCAGTTCTGGTCCCGCTGGCTCCAGTCCAGGTCTTGGTGTATCCCGGTGTCCCCCCTTCCCCCCACCCCGCTCTCACCCCCTTTTCTCTCCCCACAGAGCTCCTGAGCTGCCGGCGGCCGCAGCCCCTCCTCATGGCCTCGGGCCCAGCCGGGACCCCTCAAACTCTGCCCTGATTTTGGGGGGTCGCCTGTCCCCCTCTGGCCCTGCTTTTATTCTGACCCCAGCCGGCTGCTCCCAGTGTTCCCAGTAAAGCTTCCCAGTTCTCCCCAGTCCCAGATACTCAGGGCAGGGGGAGGGGGCTTGTGGAGACCCCCCTCTTGTGGAGACATCGGGGGAACCGTGGTTGGGTGGGGGGCAGAACCGGCTCCGGGATGGATCGGGAATTTCAATCCCCGTGTCACCCCCTTCTGGGAGGGCTCTGGGGGGCACCTGCACCCCAACACGGCACCCAGCGCTCCACAAAAGGGGACGGGATCCCCGACACCACCCCACAGACCCACAAGGACCCCCCAACCCGCTCAGACCCCGCCCAGAGCCCCCAAAGCCCAACTGTGGGGAGACCTTTCTGGGCACTGGGGAGCTCCCCCGGCTGCGGGGGCAACTCCTCCGTGTGCAGGTAGAGCCGCAGCGCCCAGCGCTCCCCACCTCGAGCCCACCAGCGCCCCCCCCTCGCCCCCAGCGCCCCCCGGGACGGCGATTTGGGCAGGGGGGAGGGGGGGGCGCCCAGGCCTTGGAGTGTGGAGAGGAGGGGGGGCCTTGAGGCGGGGTGGGAGCCGAGAGCGCCAAGAGGTTTACGAGGGTGGGAGGCGAGAGAGGAGGGCCGGCCGGCCCCGGGAGGCAGAGTGGGGAGAAGTGAGCCCTGGGACCCCCCTGGCAACACTCAAGGGGACCCCGGCGAGTGGGAACCCCCCGGAGCCGCGAGACCCCTGGCAGCCCGGAGAGAGGGGACCCCCAATGCAGGCAGAAGTGCCATCAGGCCAGACAGGGGGGACCCCCCTAACCCCAGAGAGCAGAGAGGGGGAACTCCTGGGAGGGGTTTTTGGGCTGAATGTTGGTGTTTTGGAGGTTTTCACAAAAACAAGATGCCCAGTGAGTCCTAGAGCTGGACTTGGGAAACGCGCTCACCCCTTGTTTTTTCCCCCCCAACAGGATTTCTGCTTCCCAAAGCTTGGGCAGATGGAGGAGGAGGCTGCGAGGAAGAGGAAGATGCCGCGGGCCCCCCAGGCAGGTGAGGAGGAAGTCAGTGCCCCTTTGGGTCGGTCTTTTGTCTTTTGTGGCCGTCCTGCCGGGGCCGGAGTTGGGGGGATGTCCTTGGGTTCCCTGTGGGCCGGAGGCAAATCCCCTGCGTGTCCTTGTTGCTTCCTGCCCCAGGCCCCGAGGTGAGGCCGGAGAGCACGGAGGACAAATCCCGGCGGCAGAGCCTGGTGGGAGAGGCCGTTTTGAAGGGCTCCCCGGCGCAGGAAGGCAGCGGGGAGGAAAAGGGCCGGAGATGCCCCCGCAGGAGGGGCTGCAAAGCCAGCCCAGGGGGCTGTGAGGAGGAAAGAGCCAGTGTGTTCCGGGAAGGCGGCCGGAGCTTGAGGCGGAGCTGCGAGCTGGTGGTCCCTGAGCAGCCTCCCAGCAGGGAAAAGCCCTTCAGGTGCTTGGAATGTGGGAAGAGCTTCAGGCAGAGCACCAACCTCCTCAGGCACCAGCACATCCACAGTGGGGAACGGTCCTACACGTGTAGGGAATGTGGGAAGATCTTTAGTGACAGCTCCACCCTCCGCAACCACCGTCGCATCCACACTGGGGAACGGCCCTACATGTGTGGGGAGTGTGGGAAGAACTTCAAACGGAGCTCCCACCTCGTCAGCCACCAGATGATCCACAGTGGGGAAAGGCCCTACACATGTGGGGAGTGTGGGAAGAGCTTCAGGAAGAGCTCCAACCTCTGCACCCGCCATCGCATCCACAGTGGGGAACAGCCCTACACGTGTGGGGAATGTAGGAAGAGCTTCAGCACAAGCACCAACCTCCTCATCCACCAGCTCATCCATGCTGGGGAACGGTCCTCCACATGTAGGGAATGTGGGAAGAGCTTCAAACGGAGCTCCTACCTGCTCCGACACCAGATGATTCACAGTAGAGAAAGACCCTACATGTGTGGGGAATGTGGAAAGAGCTTCAACCAGAGCTCCCACCTCCTCATCCACCAGCACACCCACAGTGGGGAAAGACCCTACAGGTGCTTGGAGAGTGAGAAGAGCTTCAGCACAAGCACCAAACTCCTCAGCCACCAGCACATCCACAGTGGGGAACGGCCCTTAACGTGTAGGGATTGTGGGAAGAGCTTCAAACGGAGCTCCCATCTGCTCCGACACCACATGATCCATACTGGGGAAAGGCCCTACACATGTGAGGAGTGTGGGATGAGCTTCAATGAGAGCTCCCACCTGCTCCGACACCAGATGATCCACAGTGGGGAAAGGCCCTACATGTGTGGGGAATGTGGGAAGAGCTTCATTGAGAACACCAGCCTCCTCAGCCACCAGCTCATCCACACCGGGGAACGGCCCTACAAATGTAGGGAATGTGGGAAGAGCTTCAAGGACAGCTCCACCTTCTACACCCACCGTCACAGCCACACAGGGGAACGGCCCTACAAGTGCTTGGAATGTGAGAAGAGCTTCATCAAGAGCACTGACCTCCTCAGCCACCAGCACATCCATACTGGAGAACGGCCCTACACGTGTAGGGATTGTGGGAAAAGCTTCAGAGACAGCTCCACCCTCCGCACCCACCGTCGCATCCACAGTGGGGAACGACCCTACAAGTGCTTGGAATGGGGGAAGAGCTTCAGTGACAGCTCCAACCTCCACAAGCACCAGTGCATCCACACCGGAGAGAGGCCCCACAAATGCAGGGAGTGTGGGAAGAGCTTCATCCGGAGGGCTGCCTTGACCAAACACCAACGGAGCCACCCATAAGGGAAGCCCCGAGTGCCCCGACTGCGGGAAGAGCTTCGGCCGCTGCTCCAACTCCATCAGCCATGGGAGGACCGCGTTGGATGATCCACAGGGACCCCTGTTGGGCACAGCCCTGGTGACCAACATTCCTGGTGACCCCTGTTTAGCAGAGATCTGGTGCTGGAATAGAGTTCAAACCTGGAAGAAGAAGAAGGACTGGCACATCTGATGAGAAAGAGAAGACTCCAGTTCCCAGATAACATGAAGGTCCTGATGGTCTCCCCAAAGAAAAACCCTGAGAGACACCTGGTGTGAAAGGATGTACTGAGGGATGGGGCCAGTGAAGGTCCCACAGCCTTTCTTCACAACCATCCTGCAGGGTGGGAATAGGGAACCTTTTTGACCTCTGTTATTTTCCTTTTAAAAAGAATAGATGCCTGTCACGCTACCCCAAATTTAGCTTTGTGACTAAAGTAACTCAAAAGTCCACCTAAACCTGGAAAAATAGTCTAAAAAGAAGTCAAGGCTAAGGAGAAATGGAAGGAAGATTTGCATTGAAAGTGCTGGATGGGCTGAGGGACTGATCCTGCCTTCCCTTCCCCTTTCAGGTGGCTCATGGGGTGAGAAATTTAAAGTTCTGCATGCTGATTCCTTGCTTTTACAGAACTAGAGTTTGCTTTTGCTTCCCAGTGTTTTAGTAGATTGCTGGTGTGGTTTAGAGTTTGTGCTTTGGTTGCTTTGTGGTGTTCTTGCTGTGTTTGAAGTGTGTTTTTGTAGCCAAAGCCTCTCAGCAAGACCTACGAGTTTTTCTGAGCTGGTCAAGGTTTGTCTTGATCAAGAGTGTTATTGGGTGAGCTGCTGCAGGGATTCCTTTGTAAAGGTGCTGCCAGTTTGTGGGCAGTGGAATAAGTGGTGGGAGATTGTGCTGAGGGAGTTTCCCTGTCCCTGGGAAGTGGCAGTGCCCGAAAAGGGTGATTGTACCAATTGTTCTTCAACCTTCAGCAGTCCCACAGCAGAGGGGTCCTCTGAGAGACCAGGCAAGGTGTTCAACTGTCTAATTTCCTCCGTCTCCACAGCAGCTATGCCAAAAGCCCAACGAAGTCCTTTTGGGTCTTTGAAATACCCACTCCTCAGGTAATCTATGCCAAGGATGCACGGGGCCTCTGGGCCAGTCACGATGGGGTGTCTGTGCCATTCCTTCCCAGTCAGGCTCACTTCAGCTTCCAGTACAGTCAGCTGTTGGGATCCCCCTGTCACCCCAGAAATGGAGATGGATTCTGCCCCTACGTATCTTGATGGCATTAAAGTACATTGTGCGCCGGTGTCCACTAAGGCCTTATACCTTTGTGGCTCTGATGTGCCAGGCCACCGAATCCACACTGTCCAATAGACTCGATTGTCCCTCTCCTCTACCTGGCTAGAGGCAGGGCCCCCCTAGTCCTGGTCATGGTACTCATTGTGCTCTTCTTGTGGGTATGACCTGGAGGTCCCTTCAAGAGGATCAGACGTATCATCATTCCTGTACCGTCTGGAGTCTTGCCCACGAGAGACTGGAGCAGCGTTTACCCTTGAAGAGTTCCTTGTGGTACTTGTTCCTCTTTTCAGTTCACATACCCGGGCTGCTAAGGAAGGGGTGGGTTTCCCATCCCACTTCCTCATATCTTCTCCGTGCTCACGGAGGTAAAACCATAGATCGCCACGTGGAGTGTACCTTCTCTCCTTAGCTGGGGGACGCTGGCTCCTAATAGCAGAGACTCTTGTTTGTCCTGGTGAGATATGGAAGATCCCTTCCTTAATTTCCTCTCTTAGCTTCTGGTGGCCCTCTTCAATTTTCTCTTCCAGGCTTCGGACGTGTTCAGCCAGTTTGGTTTCCACAGATGAGACGTGGGCTCGTAATGGGGCGGTGACAGTGTCTTCATACATCCTGAGTTTACTAACCAATGCTCCCACCTTGTCCTCTCCCTCCCTCCATTGCAGCGTTGCTAAGTAGCGGGAATACATTTCTGGCCCGAGTCGTGCAAACTTTAACCACATCTGGGAGGTGCACTGTACGCCATCTGGACTTTTAGGGAATCTTTCATCCTCTGAAAAGATTATCTCCAGTACAGCTAACTCCCTTAAGCACCGGATACCTTGTTCCATCGTGTTCCACTGTCCTTGCTGTACGTGGAGGTCCTCCTTGCAAAGGTATCTCTCCCTCACACTGCACAACAGTCGCCGCCAGAGGCTGAGAGTTTCCTGCCTCCTTCCAATCCCCTGATCAATGACTACATCTCGAGACAGGGACCCCAGCTGTCTGGCTTCACTCCCATCTAGGATTGTATCGTTAGCTGCGGCATCCCGGATTCGGAGCAGCCAGGTCAGAATGGACTCGTTCGCCTGTCGTGTGAACTCTCTCCGGAGCTCGCGTAGCTCACCCAGGGATAGGGACCGAGTGATTATTTCTGGCTCTGTCTCCTCCAGTGGATGTGAAGGTCCTGCCTCTCCGTCATCATTTGCTATATGGACTGATTTAGTCTTTGATTTCCTTTTCTGGACAGGGGCGACTGCTATTGGTTTTGGTTGTTCTTCTGGCTCCTCGATGGTTTGTGTGGACACGGTGCCGGTTGGTTTATTTCTTTCTCCCTCTGACTCAGCTGTGGTTTGGGTGGACGTGGTGCCTGCAGATTTGGTCCTTCTCTCCTCCCCCTGACAGTGCTGTACCATGTCACGTAGTGTCCGGTAGGCAGTGGCCAGGGCCCAGCAGGTTGCTGTGAGCTGGCCATCTCTGGAGCTGCCAGAGCATTTTTCCTTCACCAGTCTTATCATGCTAACAGGATCCTGCAGTTGTTCAGGGGTGAATTTCCAGATCATTGGAGGAGAAAACTTCTCCAAATACTGGCTGATGTCCTCCCACTTCCCGTGCCACTCAGCATTATCTGCTCCCAGGGCAGGTGTCCAGACAACCTCCCTAGAAGGCCCTGTTCTGACCCTAAACATTGTGTACACAGTACAGAGCAGACAGAGCAACACTAACAATAACATTATACTGTCCTTAACATCAAAAGGGAACTCAATATTTTCAAAAACTGTTGTAGCAGGTCTGAAGGGGAAGAAGGAGGTGAGAGGCTGGAAACAACCATCCCCCCCTGTTCCCCCAAAGGGCTGGGTACGATTTTTAATGAAGCCACAGAGGTAGCAACCCAAACCAGGACAGGCAAACAGGACTGGATACACATTTACAATGAAACTCATTGCTTCTGATGTTAGAATGACATAAACATAATATACTAATAAAGCGATTTGGATCCCTCTCCCTGGTCTTAAAGAGAGCATCAAAACAGGCAAATAGTTCCCCATCTGTGGAAATATGAACAGACTCAAATACAACATCCATGTGAATGCATCAAACAACATGGTGATCAGGGAGTTTCTATATCCAAATAGACAAATGCTTAAAGTGAAATTGTGATTCTGACTTCTCTCTCTCTGCCCCACGTTGGGCGGCCAAAAAATTGTGCTGGTTTAAGAGTTAACCAGCAGGGGAAATAAACTCAACTCAAAGGAGAGATTATAAGTCAGAATAACAATTTACTAAAATAATACAGTAAGTACAATCATACAAACAAACAATTGGTCTTAACCCACAAAACCCAAATGTATAACCCAGTACCCTGGGGCATGAACAACGTGGTGTTCCTTGGGCCCCGCTTGAGTCCAAAGTAAAGGGGGAGGGGAAGAACCTGCTGGTGGGAGAGCTGTTGCAGTCTGGTCAAAAGTGGTGATTGGAGTCCAGTATAGGGTGGTGGTCCAAGTCTGTTTGAGAGCGATGAGCCGCAGTCCTTCTCTGGATCCCACAGAGTGGTTCCAAATGTTCCAAGACTCCAAGATTATATATCCTGCAGTTCAGGCAGAAATGCTCAGCACTTCCCTCAGGGCGGGGAGTTCCACAAAGGGTGTGAGGACAGGAGCATCCTCCTATCTCACAGGCCTCTTAACACCTAGTTTATAGCCTGAGGCGTCAGGCTCTATGGGCAGATGGTGTAAATGGTTCATTGATAACAGTTTCTGGGAAATGGCATGGAAGGCTATAGAATACACAGTTTTGGGTTACACCCATACCCTGATGAACTGGTCTCAGTTGTCCTAACTAGGACAGTGATGGAATCCCCTGGCCTTGTGAATGTGTTTGGGGCAGAGTTGGTGTGGGGAACAGCCGAGAGCCCAGATTGGACTGATATGGTTTTGGCTTCCCTGGGGCACTAAGAGGCAAAGAGACCTTTGAAGAGTGGGGTAAATGTGCCCTGACCCTCTGTTTTCCGTGACCCCCCCCTGTGTTGAACCCCCCCTTAAAGGGGTGGTTGAGGTACATCCTTAAATGCCATCATTAAAGCCTGGGGGAGAAATGTGGTTCAGTCACCCCTCTGGAATTGCACTAAATTTCAACTGTTGGCACAATGCAAGGCTGAGATTGGATCCAGCAGCCCCCAGCACCCCAGAGGAAATTGGGAGTTCAGGGGGACCACCCCCCTTTCCCAACCCCTTGGTGCCCAAAGACCCCCATGGGACCGTCCATCCCTCCAGACCACCCCCCCTTTTCCACCCCTCTCCCTGTTCCTCCCACTTTTCCATGGTCCCCTCAAGCCCCAGCCCCTCCCAGATCGGATTTGGGGTCCCAACCTCCACTTTTCCTCCCTCTCCCACCCCTTACACATCATTCCCCCAATCCCCAGCCCCCTCAAGCTCAGTTTGGGGGTCCCACCCTCTCCTTTTCCCCACTCTTCTGACCTCTCCCACCCCTTTCCCCATCAGCCCCCCAATCCTCAGTCCCCCTCCCCCTCCACTTTTGGGGGATCCAACTCCTGTCCCATTCAGTGTTGGGGTCCCACCACCCCTTTTCTCTCCTTTCCACACCCCTTTTCCCACCCATCCCCCTCTTCCCACCCCCCACTCACCCCAGAGCTCCTCTCCCGAAGCTGGGGGGGCTCCCAGTAACACCAGAGCCCATAAAAGTCCCCCCAACAATGGGGTTAGGTGGGGTC